ATCACTTTTGCCTTCAATTGCTATCATTAAATCATGAGTTTAAATCTCTAAAAATTTGAGGTATCTAGTTTCAGAAGGAGTTATTCTATATTTATTTTCAAGCTTTAAAGGATAGATAAATAATATTACTTCAAATTATTCATTTAGAATCAAATAATGATCAAACTAAGAACTATGAAGAAGACAAAGAAATTTCTTCCTCACTTATATTACATCTATCAATTCTAATTCTTTGTCTTCTTTTTCAAACAATATCTATCGTAAATATTTTTTGACATTCTTAATTTAATTAAATATTATATTACAATTTTATGTGGTTCATATGGTTTATTATCTTTTGAGTTAGTTAAATGAGGTGGCAATTATATCTTTTTTAAATCAATAATAGTTAATACACCTTACTATGTCATAATCAAAAGTCTATGATTTGAAATTAATTTTGATCTTAGAACTTGATCTTTTCCAGCTACATTTTTTATTTATTTAAATAATTAAGAATCATGAAATAGATATGTTGTTGATTTCTCAGATGCAATAGTTAATCCATCAGAAAAGTCAACACTTTTAATTATAGATGGTTTCAATTCTATTTTATATTATTCTAACATTTCTCCTTCATATATTTTTGAACTATCAAAACAAAATCTCCAAACTTTAATAAAATCTGCACAAATTGTTGCAAATTCCAATTCATTACTATACTTAGAATATTCAACAGTTTATCTTAAATATTTTTCATTAATAAATTTTAATTATTCAATTGGTTATTAATGCAAATCTCTAAATTCTGTTAATTATTCAATTTATTTCATATCTTAATACAAAAATAATTTGACTGTAAATCCTAAATCAATATATTTATCATTTAATATTTTTATATTTCTACCTGTTGTCAGAAACATTCCTGGAGTCTAACATAATTCAACATCCTTCAATTCTTAATGAGGTTTTAATTAATGTTAATTAACAATAGATAAATCACTCTATTCAATCTCAATTGTTATAATATTAAGTGTTCCTTCTTTACCTGCTGTTAAACATACATTCTTTTATATATTTATAATTTTCAATAAAAATGTATGTTATGTATTTACTTAGATAATCCTTTTAAATTCTGTTCCTGTAGAATCATATGGAGCAGTGATCGGAACTTATTATTTTATAATAGATTAAGATTGTTCAGTCTTCATTGTATGATGTGTGTAATCCAAACTTTTTAATAATTCTAATTTTCTAGATTTGCTTAATTTATTTATTTTCCATCTTGATAACTATTCTAAATCATCTTAATCATAATCTGTAGCTAATGTATATATTTATTATTAAGTATTTTGTGTAGTGTTTTAATATTTTGTAAATGATGTTGGAGGTACTTTTAATTATAAATTAGGATTGCTTGTGATATCTTTAATTTTAAATGTCTTTGGTAACATATTGATCTTATTTATTTGAAAATGCTCTTCCTTAATTAAGTTTCTTATTCTTTCCATTTCTTAATGAAATTATTTTAAATATTTATGGACTTAATTAGACATAGGTTCTAATAATATCTTCACATTTTAATGAAATAATTCAACTAATGCTTATATCTATTATAATTTTATTGAATATTCTTTACTTTCTTTTCATAATGTTCTCTTTCTAAGTCTCCTGTATGTAAACGGTATAACAGAATGTTTGCTTCCTTAGTTGATATTTTAGCATTTAAAGCATTCATTACTGTTTAAACTATCATATGACCAGTTTCTCGATTGCTATTTGTAATTTATGAAACTTACTTTAAAACTTATGCTGAAAAACAGTCTTCAATTGATTGATTAATAAAATCAACAATCATTTTTTTTGATGATTATAATCCATCAATCATTTAATGTAAATATTTTTCAATAGAGTCTTCTAATTTTCTTAAAAAATTCATTCTAATTTCATGTCTTATGTTTCCATTATTAGATAAAAAGATTTTAGTTTTATTACCAAGATCGCTTCCATATAGTGCAAAGTCAGGACTGATATTTCAATATAAAATTTACTTTCCTCCTTTTAAAAATGTTTCTGTCTATTACAAAAATGCTGCAGCATCTACTATTTTATGATTACTATGTTCATTAGAGGTTCTAGAACAATCATCACATAGTAATTTGTTGTTACATGAATTATCTACACAAATGAATTTGATATATCTCAAATGGAAATCACAAATCTATTGCATAATTTTAATAATACAAAAAGTTTATTAAAGTATTTCTTAATATTATAATAATATCAATTTTTATTAAGATAACTATAAACTTATTCAGAATTAAATCAAGAGTACAAATTCAATTACTAATCATTATAAGATAAAAAGTTTTGAAGAGATAGCTGTCAATTTAGATATTGAATGTTTTTTAATATTTATTTATATTATATTCTTTTACCATTTTTATAAATGAACATTATTTCTCAAAGATATTAATTGGGTCTGTCGCTTAATTTTTGTAAATTTTATTGAGCCAATTGTCTTGAAGTTTAGGAGTCTTGATATGGTTATGTGAAAACTATATTTATAATAAAAAATATACATAGTCCATTTGTCAAATTGATTTTCAACAATTAAGTCATAATTTTTGGTTTTTAATCATTCAAATTTTGTTCAACTTCATATTGATGAATAACATAAAAATATCCATAAGATATAGCTCCCTAAGGATCTTAAACTGGAGAAAATATTTCAAAACCTACAGTTCTTCTTCTATAGGGAGTAAATATTTATTCAGGAGGTTCCAATGAAAATAATTCATTTTATTTAATTACAGCATTTGCCCAATCAAATGAATAAATTTCTCTTTATTCAGTATTTTTAAATTTTAAACATTCTCCGGATAGAATCAATTAATTTGATCCATAATATGGACAACTAAATACTGGAGAAGCTAAAACTGATCTATGATATGCTTCCTCTCCAGCATATGAAATTGTGAAATCTTATCTTTAAGCTCCCAAAAATTTTTCATCCTTGCAAATAAATATCTATCCTGAATTTTATTATTAACATCTATGGTTAGGTAAACCATCTGGATCTTTAGTTACTCCACCAAAGAATATAATTAACTTATCAAATTATTAATGTGAAATAGTAAAGAAACTACCATCAAATCTTTCAACCAAGTTATGTTTCATTTATTCCCATTTTCTATTATATGTAGTATTTTTCAAAACAAATTGACTATTCAATAATTAACATTTAATTTAATTGTCATAGTTTTTCAACTATTTCTATCCATAAAAAACATAAAGATTTCTAAATTTTATCATAATTAATATACCCTTTATAACTTGTACCCATAAAATTATATCCTTCTACAGGAAAATCAGGTAATTATGTAATTTGTGCATCTTCTTCAATTTGTTAAAATGGGTTTTTTGGAAATGTTATCTACAAACACTAGTTAGATTGAGTGAATCTTTCTGCTTTTTGTCCACCAATAACATAAATAATATTTTAATGTTGATTAGACTCTCCTTTAATATATAATGCCTGTTCTAATTGAATATAAGGTTAACCTTTGAATGTGAGTGGATACTCATACCATATACCATATTGCACTAAATAAACAATTAACTAATTATTAATTCTGAATGATTACAATCGAATAGATTTAACTATTAGTATAGATCTTTTTTAAAGCAAATACATAATCATCAGTAAGTGATTATTTTCCTAAAGAGATTAATTTTAAAGATTGAGTTAGAGCTTATTTAAATTTTTGTTTATGTTCTGCAACTTTGTCTTATAAAGCTTTAAAAGAGATGTTTTCACTCTTTTTGAATACCTTATAGAGTTTACTAAATAAAAGTTATTGTAATTTGACAATGGTTTAACTTATTTCATCGAGTATTCTTCTTTGATCATCATTTTAATGTTCTTTGTTTATTTCCTTTTATCTTCTAGATACACCTAATATTGGAACTGAACCTGGTAATTGATATCTTTGAGGTACTAACTTTATTTTATTTTTTAAAGAAGAAGTCAACTTATTGTTAACTTTTGTTTCAATAAGGTAAGTATTTTTGCCTGGCTAATAGATCAATTATTAATCATTTAATTAGAGATGAGGATTCTTTTATTTGAATTGTCTTAATTCTTCTAACACATGATAGAAAGTATAATCTACTCCATAATCCTTAAAATTTGTGTATCTCCTGCATCCTGGACAAGCAAACCCACTATTAATATAAAATTTCATTACGTGGGTTCAACTTTATTTTGCATATTTTTGAAATGCTCCATCCAGGCTTCTAAATCGAAAATACAGTGAACATAGCTGATAGGAGAATGTCTAATTGGAATTGTTACAGGAAGCTTTGAAAATTGGCATATCGTTGTGAGGACTATTTCTTCACTACCTATTTTGTCTTATAGAAGTCTTTGAAAGGAAAGACTTACATTAAAAGACTTCAGATGTTCTTCGTATAATTGCATATCTATTAATTTAGATATTTATATTTTTAAGTCAAATATGAATAATTGCTATATTAACATAAAAAAATGCTGAGAGTAATAAGATTAATACGACAAAAATTAATAGAAAATCAAAATAACCTAAATAATATTTGTAGAAAATTATTCTGGAAATAAATTTTATGCTTGTTAAATATGATCTTTAATTCTATTATTCTAATTTTGTGAGTTAATGATTCTAAAAAATGAGACACAAGGGTAAATAAAAATATATAAAAGAATTAGATTGATATATATTTTGAAGGAATAACTAACATCACACATATCTCTATTAGAATTGAAATAATTAATTTAATCATATAAACAATTATATATATTTTTTATATGATTTATAAAAATAATTTGTATGAAAAATATTTTGAAAATCATAAAAAAAGCTTAAATTTGAAGATGAACAATTTATAATATTTTGATCTATAGAACATTGATAATTTGTTAATGGATTTTAAGAATTAAAATTGAATAAAATTATTAAATATATATATATATTTATATTGATATGTAGAAATAGCCACCTTTATAATCTGACCCAGATTCTTTAGTGTACTTTATTATTGAGTTTAATATAGTGATGCATATGAGTAATTACAATGCAAAATGTCACATAATAATTATGATGTAGTAGATCAAATTGGATAGATTTGTTAAAGTGTTATGTGGGGAGATAAGAACAATGACACATTTTTTGAGTAATCATTCTATTTAAAAATTAATCTAGTTACTTTTGTGATCAAAAGACAATGTCATTATACTTAGATTTAGTGCATACTGGATAAAGGGAAGTTGTAGTGGCAGTAATTAAAGCAATTACAATGCTATTACAAAATATATAAAGACCAGTTTGCATTAATTACATATTAAGTCATAGTGCATTGAATGGCATAATCACAGCAGATTATAATTTTAGAGATGATGAAATCATAGCTTATTACATAAATTTATTAAAATGTGTTTCAATTAGGATTGATGAACAGAGTTTATAATTGTTTTATAATTTGGTATGTAATTCCAATCTCCATAGAAATTTAGTACATTTCCAATGTTAATGAAGGCCATCTGTTTTTACAAGCATAAAGAAAATTTAATAAGAACAAGTGTGAGAAATATAGTTTTAGGAATTACTAAAATAAACATACCATAATTGCGTAGATATGTGAGTTCTTTTCCATTCACATTGTTTTATGTTCAATTTAGTTGTTATATGAGAGATGCTCTATTTTATATTGGAGGTTTAATTTAAGAAGGAAGACAAGAATCACATAAAATAATAAAATTATTATTGGATGACTAATTAGATATTTTATACTTTTTGGAAGATCTCTTAAAAACTAATGTAGATGCTTTGCCAATAATTGTTAATTCAATAATGGTATATGGATTTGTTCCAACTATAATAATGGGAGTTATTAAGAGTGGCTAATAATCTATAAAATAGAATTAATAACCATAAAGATAATCAATGAATTATTAATAATCTCAAAAATATTAACATAATCGTGGATAATCATTAGGTAATTTTACATTTACTAATATATTTTCATCATCTTAATAAACAAATAATTAATAATAATAATAGATAATTGATATTAAATTTTGCCTATTTATTTTAATTCAAATATACAAAAGTTTTAGTTTCACTTAATTTTTGGATTTATTAACATTATTTATATTAGGAAAGGATCCTGAAATTGTTGATTTCATAACTGATTTAAGTAATTTATTAATTAATATTTAGATTCTAATTCAAAATTAAATTCATATGAAAAGGATGTTAGTATGAGTGAAACATGGATAATAAAAGAGAAAACATTCATTCAAGCATATTCTTAATTCATATATAAAGATTGTGAAATAAGTGGTGATATCAATATAAATGATAAAGATGAATTATTAAAGGGAGTTTCATCATATGAAACATAATCAATAAAAAGAGAATGTATAATTATATAATTATATTACAAAGTAAATTGTGAACACTTTAAACCATTAATAAATGATTCTAAAAGATATGAAGATTTACTTAGTATTACTGATATGTGTGATATAACAATAGTAAAATCATAAAATAAAAGTAAAACATCAGCTTTGAGTTTTTTGGAGAGAAATGATAAAAATAAAGTAAATGGAAATACAAATAATAATAAAACACCATTTTATGCTTTAATGAAACATTTAGAAAGTAATGATGATACTGTTGTATTTATGGTCTTATTATTCATTAAAACATTTAGACATTAAAAGAATATATCTCATTCTATTTTAGAATAAGTTGGTATGATTACTCCAGATAAAAATATGGAATTGTATAAAAATTGTTCAGAAACTTCATTTTTTATGCAAGATAAATTATTAGGTATTTTAGAAACAGGATTACCACCTTATAGATTAGGAACATATATATTATCAATTTAAATGTTAATTGACTTTTGTAGAACAGATCTTGAGAGTTATGATTTACGTTACAAAGATAAATTTAAAAATATTGTATTGACTCATATTCAAAAAATTAATGAATATATTAATAATCCATTAGAAGCTTATTATGTTATTGAATTCTTCTATACAGAATATAAAGTCTTAAAGTAATAAAAATTTATATTATTTATAGCAAGACATCTATATCAATATGGCCATAAACACATATATAATTATTATATGAAATGACTCCAAAAGGTGTTTGTTAAATTGATATTAAACATAATGAAAGTATTTATTTTATGGAACCTGCAAATAAATAGGATAAAGTTAGAAAAGATATGCTGATTTTATTAATATTGAAATATACAACATCAGTTCTAATTGGATTTGAAGAACAAGAATAAAAAATACTTGACAATCCCAAACCATTTGGGGATGGTCCTAATTTGAAATATGTTTCAGGAAATGTCTATAATTTATAAGAAGAACCATATTGTTAATTTATTTAACATATATGCAAATATCAAAACATTGATTGTTGCATTTTAGAGGATTCTTATAATTTAGTAGTCATGGATCTGACATAAGGATAGAGTGCAGCTAAGTGTATAGTTTCACATAATTTGAAATATACAGATGAAATGGTAGAGAGACTTAATTTAAAAATGCTTCATGTTACATATAGATTTGAGAATTAGAATAATGTGTTTGATTTAGAATTCCAGAACAAACAATGTTGTTAAGCAGCAAAAAAAATGACAGAATAAAAGAAAGTAGCATTGAGAAAAGAGGAAGTGGATACTGTAACAACATATTTATAGGCACTCAAAAATACGTTGAATTATAATAAATGATAATTTTTAAATCAAATTATGATCTCGTTATTATTTCCAAAAAAATAGTTTAAATTGATAAACTTTTTTCTATATTTTGTATATATATATTGATTTATAATAAAATGAAAAAGAGAGACTTCTTTCAATCTATTCTAATTTAATAATAATAATATATATATAATATTTCATTATTAAGTAAAATTATTAATTTATAAAAATCAATTATTAAATATATTTTACATAAGATTCCATCTAATTACTACTTATTCCCAATATGGAATCTATTTATCTGCCATTATTTTATTTAAATGTGTTAAAAATTGCTTATCTGATATCATATTCTTCTTGTCTTATTTGTTCTATTCCTCTTATTGTAAATCTAAATCTATATATATATCCCTAAATGTTCCATTAGTCTATGCATCATTATTAACAACTACTATTTATGGTTACTCTTCATCTGATAGATCATTTATTTGATCCCAAAATAAGCATTTTATCTCAAAAAATAAACATTCAAATTTAGATTATTTTTATAAATCTCTCAAATTTTTTTCCAAATCATCCTATTGTAATGCACATTGAATCATATTTAATAATAAGTTTAGATTCTTTACACTTGTATAATAGGAATTATTTCTAGAAGCCAATTATATTACAGAGACTACATTTTCTACTTTCAATTTCTAAATTATTGCTTCATTCTTGCTTTATCCCAAATGATCATTAACTATTAATAAACATTCGACAAATATCTCCAATATTTCTTACTCTATTATTTCCTAAGATTTTCCCATTCTCTATGCCACTAAACTCACATTCCCTCTATTTTCAAGGAGTGTATGCCAAAGTTCTCTCTTTTCATATAAGGTTAATTAATGTCTATAAGGTTCTTCTTCTCTCTCTCTTTTACAGATATACATAAATATTTTAATTGCAAAATAACATCATGATTCCTAGAAATACTTTAATAAAAAATCATTTTTATTTTTAATCGTTATAAATTTGAAATTTCAATGGCTTCATCAGTTCTTCGTTCTCAAATTCCTTTAGGAGGAATATGTGATGTTGAGTCTGCAAAACATGTTGCAAGACGTCTCTTTGAATCTTATGATCGAGACAGAAATGGAATCTTAGATCAAGGAGAAGTAGCACCAATGATGGTAGATGCATATAAAGGAATGTCTAAAGGATTCAATCCAAGCAAATCAGATATTGATACCTATTTGAGAATCCTTGATAGAAATGGAGATGGCAAAATTACAATCTAAGACATTGAAGCTTTAGCTATCAAATACTTAGTTGGAATAACTGGTGAGTCTCCTAAAAGACCCAAAAGATAGTATTCTAAATTTGTTGAAGATCGTCTAGATGTTGCTAGAAGACTCTTTCGTAAATTTGATTAAGATAATTCTGGATTTATCACTGAAAATGAAGTATATTCATTATAAATATCGTATAGGTTCCATAATTATTGATTGAGACATATAAATCTATGGGTATTCAATATAATCCCACTTAAGAAGATGTCAAATCATGGATGAGAATGACTGATCTTAATGATGATGGTTAAGTTTCACTTGAAGAATATGAAGATTTAGTTATTAGATCACTACAACATGCAGGAATCCAACTTGAATGATATTATTATATAAAAATAAATATATTTCTGAATTTAAAAATTCTATATAACCCATAGTCAGATCTTGATGAATGATAAAAATAATTCAATTGCTCTAACTATCTTTTCAATCTTTGTTTTAGGGTTCTTAATCCAAATATGGTAACATATTTTCTTTTGCTAAAATCTTATTCCTAATTTTATTCAAACATAATTTCATAGATAGACAATTTTTAAATGGCCATTCAGAAACTCATCCTTAACTTCTTAAACTTTCGCTCTATATTTTATATATTTAAATGAAGAGTCCTGCCAAAAATTTATGTAAATTTATATTAAACAAATTTATGAAACCTCTAAATTTAAGATATGATTTGAATTGATATACTTTCAGATTTTCTGAGAGCTTTATGCAGGCTATAATTTTAATTACTTTTATTAACTTTCATATTAAATATAATTAAATCAAACTGGAACCAACTCCTAACAATCCTGCTATAGCTACTGGCATTTCAAACAACATGATATATGAAGATGAGAATCCTATTAGACCATCTAAAAATTTCCCTATTAAAAAAATTCCTATCAAAGAACTGCTTTTTTAATTAATTGGTTTGAGAATGATCACTATAGTCCATAGGGTTTTACATAATTTATCCATAGGTATAATTGTATATCCACTAACATATTAAATAAAACAAATTTAATCAACAAGCAAATAAACAGATTAAATATATCCATATATTGAAGTTCTTGATACTCTCAAAACTTTTAGGTTATTAAAGGCTTTTCTTCCTTTTGAAATTCCTCCTTTAAAATAATAACTATATCATTTATACTTGACAACTATTTGAATTAAGGAATTGTAGCAGAAATGAATAGGAAAAAATATTCAACTAATCTTAAGCTGAAATAAATTCTTTGTTGCTATCTCATATTTTATTTGGTTTATTAATTATATTTTTAAATCACACAATAATTCTCAACCTTCAATATTTATGCCAATTCCATAAAACACCAGCAAAACTTATTATAACACAACCTAATAAAGCTTTACTAAATGGATATCTCTTTGAATTATATTATTTTTATAATTCATTCAATATTTTCATTTTCAATTCTTCATTATTATTAAATTTATTATTTTTAATTTTTTTTAATGTTACCTATATATTATTCAATGTTATTAATTCTTTCCTTTTTAGTAATTCTTAACCAAAATTAAAAAGTTCAATATCACTACTAACATTAAATATAATTTAATTTTTTTTATCTTTTGTTACATTACATGCTTAACCAAAACACATTAACTATATTAAAGTTTTTAAATATGGATTTCCCTTAAATATTCCACAACCCCACTTACCAGTAGAAATTGAGTAATGTGGCTATCTCAATAAAGCAATTTCAAATCCAGAATAACATTTAATTAATTCTCTATTAATATTTTTTTAACTAAATTAATCTTCATCATCAAAGTATTCTTCAGCATCAATAGCCTATAAAATATTTATTATATCTTCTTTACTAATAAATGATATTTCTCTTCCCATTTGAATTATTCCAAATTTTTATGTTGGAATGTACTTTCATATCCCATATAATTATTATATTTGATAAGATTTTCAATTAAAACAGCTTCATTTGGTTTCATTGGTTCTACAAATAATACACATATTATAGCCTCAGTATATAATAACATTAATATCTATTTGTTTAATATATATTTATAATACATCTTCCTGAGTACAACTCTTATAATTTAATGCCTAACCTCCTATATTTTAATTGGCAAAATCAACTACTGTTGATTAAATTTAATCTTCATTTTTTTATCTTGTAAATCTAAAATTTATAGGCTAGTTTGATTTAAGAATTGATTATTTTTTAAAGTATTATTCTTCATTTATGATATTTTTTATAAATTGAATTTCTTCTTATTCAATCAATCCTCTATTAGAAAAAAATAATTTAATATAATTAGTAATACATTTCAATTTTTATTATGTAACTATTTAATTCGATGATTTCAACTCTTCCATATTTATCAAATAGAACCTACCACATTTAAATTATCTTTCTATTAAATTGAAGAATATCATCAAAATTAAAGTAAAAACTTCAACTCTTTATAATGTAATTATGTTATTATTTTTAAATTCATTATTCACCTTTTTAAGTAGTTCCGATAATCTTTTATGATTTTTCAATATCTATATTATATATTGATTAAATTCTTGTTAATGAACTTCACATTCATTAAAAATATTGCCAATGATTTCATCCTATAAAATAGAATTTACTATGTATTATTAATATTCTGAATTATCTTAGTATTTTAAATGACATTTAAATGCTTCATTAGACCTAAAATGTAATAAAATAATTACATTATTATTATAAAATAAAGAAAATAATTTAGATTATATTCTAATTAAAATTGATTTTATTATGTGTATTTAAAAAATTAATATTTAAGATCATAGATCTATCATATATAAAGAGGAGATAAATTAATAAAACAAAAATCTTATGTTTATAAAATTCATTAAAGAAAAAAGGATATTTATAATATATTAATATTGTATGTAATAAATACATCTAATTGTTATACAATTTGATTTATAGTCAGAAAATAATTTTTGTTTAATAAACTATTATCATTTATTTAAATATGTATTGAAAATTTATATTGAAATTTAAAGTAATTTCATGTTTAACTCAATAATAAAATGGATATCATTTTCAATAGAACTTAATGAGAAAATATAGTTAAAATATACAAATACTAAATTTAGATACTGAATTAAGAAAATTTAAATTTATATACATTAATAAATTAGCAACAATTAGAATATAATTAAAAGCATACTTGATATTAAGATTGAAGGAATTTAATTTTAACTTTAGTTATGTATTTAATCAATAATTATTAACGGCATATAGAATTTGCTGCATGACTATTCTGTTCTATATTTATAAATTCAAAAATATATATATAATTGGATATTATATTTATTCGCATTTGATTAATATGATGGTAAATCAATTATAAAAAATTAGAAAAATGAATATATGATTTCAATATATCATAAATGTTAATTTCATATTTAATAAAGGTAAAGAATTGATATAGATATTTAAAATTCATATTGGAAAATTAGATATTTAAAAAAGAAAAGAAAATATATTAAATAATTATGAATTACTCATAATAGAGAATTATTAGAATCTTAGATTTTTGATTATACTTATTAGTATGCAATGATTATTGAGTATCAATAAATTTGGTTAATATTTATGAATATTTCTAATTTTATTCAAGAATGCGTCAATACAGTGATGGATTCTCATCCAATTTAGTATCAACCTTCAATGGAGATAAGTGAAGGTGAAATTTTAGTGAAAGGAAAAACATTTGGTAGATGGGAATCTAAAAAATTTATTATTGATGAGAAAAAGAGAGTTTTTGCTCTTAGGAGTTCTAAAGGAAAAACAAAGTTGAAACCCTATTTTCTAAAAGAGTATTAGGTTTATTATAGTTAATATAAATTTTAGGTAGAGAATAAAGAGAGGAAAAAAGATAAAATATCATTTGATCTAACTTCGAAAACTGGAGGAAAGTGTTTAACTCTTGGAACAGAGAGTGAATAGAAAGCAAATGAAATTATTAATGTTCTTTAAGAATTATGTAATAGAATAGATGTAATACCTAATAAAGATGAGATTATTTAAAAGAATATCTAAGATCAGATCAACAATAATCAACATTGTACCATTTTAATAAATATTAGTCAGAAATGATGATAAATTCAATAGATTACGAAATTCCAAGCTTTTTTGATATTAGTGAGATAAGGGATAGGTAATATTTGTATTAAAGTAGTATTGCTAATATTAGAAAGGGATCACATAATTTGGAGAATTTTAAATTAGTAATTGAAAATAAATTATTAATATATAGAAATTAATACAATCATCATTAATTTAAAGTTTTTGTGGAATTTGACGGCAATTGTAATATTCATATAATTATTGAAATTACATAGGTCAAGAGACAATCATTCAGAATTTAACAGATTACAATAAAATTAATTAGTGGAATGCATATATTTGTAAATAAGATAGTAAAATGATTAAAGAATTATATGAAGATAAATCATTTTTGATATGTGAAATAAGAGAATTATCAAATTTATTTATATTTAAAAGAGAATTTCAATATTTGTAACATCATTTTAAAATTGATAATTTTGATTTTATTGTATAAAAATAAATTGATCAAAAATCATACACTAAAAATTATTAAGGAAGTCTTAAATATGGTGTATGGGCAATTTAAGCTAAGTACTAAATGTATTTCTATATTAAGTGAGAAATAAACTAAAGTATATTATTTTTCTGAATAATCAATGTAAGGTTTATCTTATTCAGATGAAGATGCTTATCTTATATAATTATTCTTAGAACAAATAATTAATTTGTAAGATTTAAGTATTATTATTCAAAATGAAAATCTCTAAATTAAGTCTAATGTAATTTATATATAAGATAAATAGTAATAATAAAATGAATTAAAAAATACAGAAATAAATAATAAAGAAGATAATGATTAATTTTTTGATTGTGAAGAATTAGATGCCATGAATGATAAATTATTTATAGTTGAAAGTAATTCTAATAAAGATGATGTTATTATTGATGAATATGAATAAAATGTAAGAAAATAAACAATTTTACCTTCATAAGTAGATTCATTAGATAATATTCAAGATTGGGTTGATAAAAAAATGAAGTTAGTTTTATCTGGGAATTATAATTATTTTTCTATTAAAATTTTACATTAATTATAACCTAAAGAATTTGATCCTTTATAACGTTAGCTATTAACTTAATAAGAAGGTGGTCATTATATTTTCAAAAAGGATTTTATAAGAGAAGAAAAGAATGGTGGATTAAAAGTAATTAATGAAGAAAAATTGGCTGCTTAAAAAGCTGTCATTAAATTTTTATTAACTAGAATTGGTGCTTCTCTTATGATGGGTAAATCAATTACTAGTGTATCAATGCCAGTTACTATTTTTGAAGCTAGATCAAATACTGAAAGAGTATGTAATAGTATGGGATTTGCACCTATTTATTTAGAAGATGCTGCTTAATCTTAAGATATTTATTATAGAATTAAATAATGTGTTGCTTTTTAATTTGGATTTATATTTATGTATTTATCTTGTGAAAAAGTATTGAATTAATATATTATAGCCATTTAATCCAATTTTAGGAGAGACATTTTAAGGGTTTTATGATAATTGTCCTATTTATTGTGAATAGATTAGTCATCATCCTCCTATTTGTGCCATTTAAATGTATGGTAGATAATATAGGTAGAATATAATTAATAATAGGTATTAGAATAGATGCTTAATTAGAATTGATAGCTAATTTTAATTCAAATTCAGTAGTTGGAAGAAATGTTGGAACATTAAAAATTAGTTTTTAAAATCCTCATTAAATAGTATTGATAACTTTGGCACCTGGTAGTTTGAATGGAACAACTTATGGTGATAAAGTTATGAATTATCTTGAAAAATAATTTATAATAGATATCAAAAATAAAATAATTTGTGAAGTTACTTTTAATCCAGATAAAAAATATTGTTAATATTTTGATATAGAATATTAAAATCAATAAGATTATTTATGTGGAGTTATTTGTGATGTTAATGATTTAGCAATTTAAAAATATCACAAAGATGGATATCGTAAATATAAAGGATTAGATTTAAAATAAGATATAAAGTAAATAAGACATAAAATAAAAGGAATATGGGTTAATGAGATAAAAGTATATTATATTATTATTAATAGATTGATAATTAAAAATTAATTTGTATTCATAATGATTTTCCTGTTAAAATGTAATTAGCATAATATCCTATTCCATCAGATGCTAATTTCAGAATGGATTTGTTATGGTGGAAATTGAAAAATTTTGATTAATCTTAATAATGGAAGGAAAAACTTGAAATTTAATAAAGATAAGATAGAAAATTGAGGGAACAAAAAGGGAAAAAGAAAAAATGAAATATTAATTTAAAATAATTTATTAAATGTAATTCTAAATTTATTGGCTTCATATTCTAATTGTAAATTCAGAATAATTATTAATTCACTTAAATTACTTCATATAATTACTAAAGAATCTTGTATTAAGTGTACATTTTAATGAAATTCTTAAAGGATTATGAGTTAAAATAACAATTATATTTATTGTTTATTTTATAATGGATCCAGAATCAAATGATTTTTTCAGATTAGCATCAAATAATTAGATTATGAGTAGTTATCCAACATTCCAATAAATTATACAAATTAAGTATGATATAATCATCCATAAAGTTCAATGCAATAAGCAATAATACATCCAGTTTAAATTTAATAAGCTAGTCCTATTTAATCTCCAGAAAATTCAATAATAATGTAAGCATCTCCAATTAATGCTCCTTTATTTGGTATTAATTCACCAATACATTCTCAACAGGATGACGAGGATTAATCACTTGTTAATTAGATTTTTGAGTCATAATAATTTTCATAACCAATATTAGACATTTCTTAACTAAGTTAAATTTAACTATAACCAAAAACAAAATTAGATTTAACAGATTAACCAAAATACAAAAAAAAAAAAGTTGGTTGTTCTTGTACAAAAAGAAAATGTTCTTCTAAATATTGTTTTTGTGCAAAAGATGGTTAATCATGTTCAAATTTATGTAAATGTGTAGATTGTAGTAATAATAAATCATTTATGAGTTAATAAATACAAAGATCTATTGCTTATGAATAAAAAGAATAAAAAGGATGTAAATGTAAGAAAAACTTTTGTTTAAAAGGTTATTGTGATTGTTTTGCAAAAGGTATGTAATGCAATTCTAATTGCAAATGTATTTAATGTAAAAATATGACAACAATTGAACCTATTAAAGACAAAGTACCAATAATCAAGAAAAAAATTAAAAAGTTTAGTAAATTTTATAAGAATAAAAAAGGGTTCATTCGAACCAATAAAAAAGGACTAATATTAACTTAAGTAGAAAATTAATGATTAACATAATATTATAATTATGTGTAGTTTTTGTTTCATTCTAAAAATTTCTTTATTTATATTACTTTATATATATATATAAATATATAATTAAGATTTTATATTTATTTCAATCATATTAAATGAATTATATGAATCATTCCATATCAACTTAGATATCTAAGGTCTCACATAATTAAATAACTTTATCAACCTCATCCATTAATTATCCTTTATTTTTACTATATAATTAAAGTAAACAAGAAGTTTGTTAATTATCAGATTGTCCAGCTTGAATATCTACAATGTTGAATTTGCAACCACTAAGAGAATAAGTAAAATAATTACGATTAAACTACTGATAAGATTTTATTGATAGCACCTGTGTCGAATAAATGTCCTGTTAATTTGATAGCCAAATAGGAAGGAACCTTCTTTAAAGCTTTTTTAGGTTAGAAACTTTCAGCTTCTTTTAATTAATCATTTATATTTCTTAAATGAGTAATATATTAAAATTTATGAGTTAACTATCCATGTAATGTAATCATAGCATTTTGTAAAAACACAGGTAGACCTTATTCTTCTAATGGTTTATTTGAATCTGAATAAGCAAGATGAGGAACAATATCTCTAAGAGCAATACCAAAATCAATGCTAGCATCATAAGGCAATTATGATGGTAGGAAATCAATTGACATGTACATGATGTCTTTAGGTGATTTTGCATCAAATTCATCATGGATGGATTCAGAGATTGGTTCATAAAAATAAACAGGATTATCAGGTGTTGTATACTTCTTTAAGAATTGAATTGATCCTTCCATATCACAAGTAACATCACATACAGCCTATAATCTACTTTTTCCTGATTAAACTAAATCCTAAATTTATTATATATTATTATTACTTTCATTTATGAATTTGTTATGTATCTAGGGAATTTATGATCCCAATATATGTCATTAATTATAATTGTTAAATAAGGTAAATACTTAGTATGAAATACAGGTGTATATTAATTTGGATGATTGTAGTAATCTTATGAAGTAAATTCTTTATCATAATCTTCTTAATGTCTAACTAAATCAGTTGTTTTGAATGGACAAACATAAACTGTTCTTCTGTGTTTAGGATCATTTGGAGTATTCACTAATTCTTTCAATTCTGATGGTTTAACCAGTGTGATATGAAGATTTTATAAGGCTTCCATTGAACCTTTACCACACAATCCTGATGAACCCAGAACACCAATAATAATTGGTAATCCAGCCTCCTTTGGTAATCCTCTATCTTTGATGGCTTATCCTGCCACATTTAATGCTTAATAAGCATCTTTTTTATTAAAATATTAATAAGTTGGGCCTATTTAAAGGAATGGAGTGGCAATGTCTCTTTTAAGTAAATACTTTCCATATTCATTCATGAATGTAATTACTCCTGCTATACCTGCATATGGAAATGCAGTAGTATTAACACCCTATTGATAATATATTTTTATTGATTACTTTTTCATCATATATTCTTTCATAATCTAAATGTCTAATATTTTTCTTTAACATCATATCCAATGCAGGCATATTGTGTGGCTAGGCTTTTATAGTATGTGACCAATGTAGGTAAGTCATTCCTTCAATATATTTATCAAGTGGAATTTCTTTAATACAAACAATGGCTTTGCATTAAGATAAATCTTCTTAAACTAAGCATCCAACTTCTAAATATTGTTCATCTGTAAAAACTCTTTTTGTCGATGGCTGTACGATGATTTAAATTTAAGGATGCTGAGATAATTAATTTAAGTTTTACTTTTTCCATAATATATTTGCAATCATGGGGAGGAATTGGAGTTCTTCTTTCCCAATAAGACTTATCTTCAGCTCTAATACCAATATACAACTTGTCCATTTCTTTTTCAAAATATTTTAAATAATAAAGATATGAAAATGCGTCATTCCGCTTTATACTCTCTATTAATTTAATAACTAATAAAATATGTATTTTAATAAGAATAATATTTATAATGACGTTCTTTTAATAACAAATCAAATATACTTCATTAATGAAACTAAGTCTTTCTATTTTTTGTTTGAATAAACCTTTTCAAAAAATATCCTTGACATTATCAAAATATATATAAAATTATAAAGTATTGAAAAAAAACACAATTTAGAAAACTAAAAAATAAACTATCCTTATAAGATTCTGATAGTAATATAAGAATTAAACAATTATATATGAAATGGGATCAAAAATGATGAATTCACTTTTAATGAATTTTAGAAAATTTTGATCCATTTCTTTTCTTTCTTGTAAATTTCAATTGTTATTATTGTATTACTTATTCCTTTTGATGTAATATATGATTTTTATTTGACATTTGATATTGGTTTATTCATACAACAATGATTTATTTCATTTTATTAAAAAATAACCGAAATATTAATTCTTCATATTTATTACGTTGGAATTAAATGGTTCGCACTTTTCACAATTTGATAAGTTAGATGGAATTACAATCAATATTTATTAAATATATTATCTAATTGTCATGTACAGATATGTCTCAAGTGAGCTTGGCTTCAGAACACCTGCTTTAATCAATTCCATTAAAATTTTCGTAAGAGATTTTTCAGATATTCCATCAATTTCTGTTTCGAGATTAAATACAGAAGAAATTAATTAAGCTTTGGAAATTCATTCATTATAATGGCAATAAAGCACAGATTCTACAAAACTTATAAAAGAATTTAAATTCTCTAATTTCAAATAAACCTTTGTTTTCATGGGATCAGTCTCTTAAGTTGCTGATTAAATGCAACGTAATTCTTTATTCTATAATTAGATTTCCCAAAATGGGTTTAAAAAGGAAATAAAGTGACTGTCGAAATGACAACCTAAGATTGTAAAGGAATCTCAGTCAAGGATATTTTATTAGCTTATACTATGGAAAGTATTGCAAATCATGTTGAAAATCAAACAGTTGAAAATGTTTGTGATACTATTAAGGTATCTACAAATCAATTGTTGAACAATTGGAATTCAAATTTTACTAAAACCGAAGATGTTTTCTAAGGTTTCCAAAAGAATATAGTTTAACTTTGATAACATATATATATATTATATTACATAATACCTACTTTTTAATTCAATGATTTCTAATGAGTATACTTTTCTATCATGTTTTATTCAGATTTTAACAGTTAAATTAAAATGTTATTAAATCACATCATAATACATAAGATTTTAATAACACGCATTTTCTTGATTTATATACCTCTAGAATTTGATGAAATTCTAATAATTAAATTAAAAAATATTACAATGTATAGATATATTTCATCATTTACATAAAATCATTTAATCATGGATTAAATAAAAGTTTTTATCAAAGACTTTAAAGATGTTCCAAAGTTAGCAACCTCAAAATTGAACTTAGAACATATAAATTCACTCAAAGACATTCAACAGCTATCAGATTAATGGCAATTTAATCAAGCTATGACAGTCATAAAAAGAGAATTTGAGTTCCCTACTTTTAAGGAAAGCTTTGCTTTTATGAGCTCAGTCTCTGATATTTCTGATCAAATGGAACGTAAGATATTCAAATTAACAATTTAGATTATCCAAAATGGTATAATAAAGGGAACAAAGTTATTGTTGAAATAACTACTCCTTAGGTTGGACTGACAATCAAAGACATTTTGTTAGCCTATACTATGGATAACATTTCAGATGATATCCAAAATGAAGACATCCAATTTATCAGTTAATAAAGTAAATTGACTTCTCAATCTACTACTTTACTGAATACTTGGAACAAAAATTACTCTAGATTTGAGGAAGAAGTTGCCTCTTAATTATAGAGAAATGTCAACCAATTTTGACGAAGATCAATTTGATTTTGTCAATTATATGTTATTCAATTATTATATACAAATTTGTTATCAAAATTATTCCCCTCTAAATATTGATAAAATACAGAAATTCTAATTGTATATATGAATTTAAGTTAGAATGATTATTCTATATATTTTACATAAAATAAGTTTAATCAATAATGACAACAGAATAATTAAGTTCTAATAAGAAAACATGGGCTGAATTAGCAGAAGAGGAAGATGATGAAATTGAAAATGGTTAATTTACAACTAATTCCGAAACTCTAGACAGAAATGAGATTCCTTATCAACCTACTTTGACAAAATCTATATCAGAATTTTAACCAAAGACAAGAAATGACAGACAAAAAAATTATAAGTAAAGAGACAATGATGGTAGTGGTCTAAAAAATTATCAATAAAATAATTCACATTTTAACAAAGGAAACAATAAACAAAATAGATAAACAAAAAGTAATAAAAAATTAAAGATGTAGATAATTATGACGAAGTTTACAATATATTGTTTGAAACAACAAATTAAGAAATCCTTTTAAAGGTCAAACCTATGAATAGGAATGAAAACTTAGAGTCTGTTAAGGAATATTTTGAAAAACAATATTAGAATATTAAAGCATTTCCAAGAAACGATATTAATTAGATTGATCTATTGATATCCCCTAAAATTGGATTGTATATATTGGAGGATCATAGATTTAAAGTATTATACTTAATAAATAAAGGCCCAAATTGGTGATTCGATTTTAACAATTCATTATCCATAGTTCCCTAATGAACCATTATCAGAATATTATGCAAAAAAAAGATATTTAGAAAAGGAAAAGAAAATAATCTAACCTGCTCTTGTATTTCAAAGAAATGCAGTCAGTTCCAAAGTAAATGATTAAAATGATTGTAATGAAAAATCTGAAAATGGTATTAAATAGGATATTTATGACTACAATAAAATTGAAAATGATCAACCATAAATATATAAGGAAAAGGACAATCTAGAAGATTAATAATATGAATAAAAAAATCCATAATATAATAAAGGAAAATAAGATAAAAAAGATTTTAATTAATAAACAAATTACAAAAATAAAAAGTATAATAATAATAATTATTATGATTATGAAGAGGATTTTAGAGAATACAAAGATGAAAAGTAAATTAATAATAAATCTAATAAATATAGAAATGAATAAAATCAACCAAAAGAAAACTATCAATCATAAAAATATTATTAATATGATAATTATAAATATACAGATAAGACAACATCTGATAATAATTTAGTTCCTTATTAAGAAAAAGAATAAAATAAGGATTATAGAAATAATTAAAATTATTAAAATTATAATACAACAAATAACAATTACAATTATAATTAAAAGAGATAATTCAAAGGAAACAATAAACAAAAGAATGATTAATATGTTATTTATGAAGAAAAGTAGAAATCAAATTCTGATGAAATAACAAAAAATGTGACAACAAATCCTCAAGATAATTTTGATAAATAAGTTAAAGTCACTTAAAATATTAATTAACCTATTTAGTAGAAAGATGTGAATGAGGATTAGAATGAAGATATTCAAAATGATAGTGAAAATGAATAGAGTTAAGAACAAGAACAAATTGAAGAAAATAAAACTCCAAATAAAAATAAAAAGAAGAAAAAAAACAAAAAAAATTTAAAAGTATTATTTTATGTATTATTTTAGTCCTTAAAACCAAACGACACTAATTTTTTTGGAATACTATAGAGTGGAACAAAGTGATAGATTAAAATCAATATTATAAGTTGTTATTCTCAGACAGAATAATCTAATAAAATAATAACATTGTATTTTTTATTGCATAATTTCCTCCCATTATACTATATCATTCATTTGCTTTCCTACTTTCTTAATAATGAATGCTTTTAATCATATTACATCATGGGGGATAAAAATAAAATATATATATATATATATATTATAGTTTTTATATTCAAATTAAACAAGAATTACTATTTATGTCTTAGCTGATTATTAATCTATAAAACTCTTTAAATTCTTAAAATATTTTTATATTTATTAATTTTATGGGTTGTATTGCTTTAAAGAGCGATTAGTTAAAGAATACCTAAAAACAAGCCTTGTAACTTAGTTAAACCTAATAAATATAATGTGAAGAATAATCAAAATTATAAATGACTAAATCACCGTTATCATGTAGTATAAGAGCTACTTCAATTAATAACTCAAAACCCATCTCAAAGGAAAAACAGATTAGGATAGAAAAACTTTTATTTAATAAAAAGAATAATATAAATGGCAACTTATTTTAATGCCCTTAAGAAGAATAAGCATACTAGAGAACAATAATTAGACTAATAGCAAGTTGAAGAATAAATATGAATATAAACTATGTATTAGACTAGATATTTATTTAATTTAAAAATTTATTAAATCTGTATTATTAATTCTTATAGCTACTTTTGTTTTTCTAAAATAATTGATTCCTATTAATAAAATATTACAAGAATATTTTATTTAATCATAGTAATTTAAATATTTAATGTAGTCATCAAATAAAATAGATGAGAATAAAGTGATATTTTATACATTAGAATACAGCAATCAATTCAAGAGAGTTAGTGTTTAGGCTTTTTAGTATGCACTAGACTATTCTAGTCTGTTGGTAATTGTAAACCTTTTTTGAATTGTTTAGTTAATTTGTTTAAGTCTAATTTTTGTGGTCTATTTCTAGCTTAAATAAGTTTTATCAATCGATCTTCCATATTCAACAATTATCTACTTTGATGAACCAAAAATGAATCAATAAGAGAATATTAAATATCATTAATTCCAAAATTATCTTTTGTACTTACAGTGTGAATGATAGGATGAATATTTTTAAATTATTTAATTTCTCTAGCTAGATACAATTATCTATCATAAAGCATTCTTTCTTTTATCTTATCACATTTGGTTAACACAATTTATATATTTACATTTTATTCTTATAACATATTTAACATGACTTTATCCTTATCTTTAATACCATGTTCTATATCAATTAGTACATATATTCTAGATAATCTTGATGATAATTTAGCATAGGTATATATCATTCCTTACATATATTTCTATGCATCTACATTTATTTAAGAATATCCATATCCAGGACTATCCACTACATAACCATTAATTGTTTGAATATTGTGAAATTATAATCTTAAAGTACTACCCTACATATAATACAATATTTATTACAGTTTTGCTTGATGTTTATGCTACTTTTTATCCTAATATTGCATTAATCAAACTAGATTTCCCAACATTTGATCTGCCTACAAATAGCACTTCTTTTGGCTTTTTTAATATTTATTGATCCTGTTTTAATTGTTCTATTAGAAATCCTTTAAGTTTGGAAGGAACAATTTCATATTGATTAGGCAATAACGATGTACCTATCTTTAAGCCTTTTAACAAATTTCCATAATCAGAATGATACTTATACAATTAATAATTATGAATATCAAGTGAAGGGTATTTAATTGAACTAAACTTAAGACCAACCTTAATTATATTCATAATTATTTAATAAAAATATTTAATTATTTTACAAGACTAATAATGTGAATGAGTTTCATAAAATTATTTTCATATATCATTTAGAATTAAGAAATCTATAGGCTTATATATAGAAATTTAAGATTAATAACAAACATTTGATTAATTATTTACTTTCCAGAAATAGTTGTTTTTAATAAAATTAAAAAAAGATATTTAGAATTAAACATTAGAATAGGTTTTAATCAATTTCATATATATATATATATATATGATTTTATTCCTGATATTTGATACAATCAATCAATCACCCATTTAAGTTGAATTTATTAACTTAATTTAAATTAGAGTTTAATCATTAAGATTCTTGAAATTTAAACTTGAAAAGTAAATTAAATTAGAATATTTAATCATTAAGTACTAATATTGTAAAATATTAATAATTTACTCAAATATTATTAGATTTTAATAATATGTTATAGTCATAATTAAGAATATCATAAACATAAATTATTCTGCTTAATGTAAACTAAATCGAATATTCTTCAGAGATATTATTTTTTAATCATATTCATAAAATTATCTCATATCTTTTAACGTTAAATATGTTTAATATATGGATTCTAAATTAAAATTTCTAGTGAATCGAGTTAATTTATTATAATACTTCATTACTTTTTAATCAGAATTTTTGTTTTCAATTTAAGTATTATCGTAAATTTAATTTCTTAAAAAAAGTTCTGTTTTGTTATTTAAAATAGAAATAATTAACTAATATTATGTATTTATTGAAATTATTATATATATCATTATTATTCAAAGTTTAAAAGTTTGCAAAATGTTGAGTTTTATTCATTGGATTATTAACTATTTTGAGTTTAATTATGTTATAACATTGCACTATTATTTGTTCTGCTACTATTTATAATTTTAGGGGTTCCCTATTGTAATATAGAAAAACTAGTTTTGCTATTGATTTGTTTACTCTTATTATTCTTTAATTATTCAACTACAAATATTAAATTAAAATATACATTTTTTTAATATAAAATCTTGAGTCTCCTAGCTGTAATCAATTTTATTATTGATATTTGAATTGTTGTAAACATTTTCTTTTGAAATTGGCAATTATTATGGTTTAACCTATTATTTTAAGAGAGGAGATTCTTAATATGCATATAACAATTAAGTTGCAGGTGTCATCAAACCAGCATGCTAGGATTGCAAATTTGATGTAAAATTCTATTATCTTGGTAGAATATCCCTTAAAGGCGAATCTAATATCTTATTATTCAAAGCAGGATTTTTATTGTTCATTGGTGATTGTGGGACACTGTTTGATTTGATTTCATTAGACATTTATAACATAAATGATTTAATTTATGGAATAAAACTCTAGTTATAATAGGAAACAATATCACCTAAGAATGTCAATTAAATACATACCCATACTATCATTAGAAATATATGTATTGCAAACAATCTTTTTTATAAACTATTTTGAATACCATGTATTAGTGAGTTCATAGGCATTGATAATTTATTAAAATTTTAATTAGTTTCCAGTTAACTTAGATACAGCATAAATACTAGCTAAAACAACTTAATCTAATGAGTGATGTCTTAAATGATCAGTTTTTTCACTGATAATATATTTAATGGTAATCCAAATGTACTCTTATAATTATTCTTATAACTTAATGTTACTGCAAATAACTTAAATTTGAAATGCACAATAATGTAATACTCTTTTGAATAATCGATTCATTTAATTATTATTTTATTAGTATCTGCTTAAATGAATTTCATTAAGAAATTTGATCAATTCAGATTGACTATCACAAGACCAAATAGAATAGGATACAAATTTAACTTCAATATCTAATATATGTTCTTTAAGTTAATGTGGAATTTTTGTATCAAATTAATTTAAGAAGAAATCTAGCCATTTCCAAAGTTGATAATGTTAAATTTCACATTTTTACATTAATTGATCTAAGAGTTGTGATTATTTATTTAAAACAAAATAAACACATTCTATACAAAAACAAATTAAACTTTTGAGCATTTATTCATCAATTTAGAAATTGGATTTCTCTAACATTAACATATATAAAGTCCAATATTAATTAGTTTTTGATTTATTTTCATCAATAAGATTACTCTCTTAACAATACTATATACATTCATTAAATATTTTGTCAATTAAATCAAAATATTTAGTTTGGTTTTACAGATTTTAGAATGCTTGAGGAGTTTGGGATAATAATGAATTTACATTTAAAGTTCCATTCTTAAATAGTTTTTTAAAAGGTTATTATTTTTCATGTATCCAATTGTACATTTCCATTGCTTCAGTCATTGGTGTGGCTACAATTGATTATTAAGCATAAGGAGACATTAAAACAGTTTATGGTAATTTAATTTCTCTTAAATTTGTTGTAAGTGTAATTTTAGTATCTAATTCATAATTTAACAATTTTTAATATCTATTTTATTATTATTATTATGATGTTTATAATTCTCTACTTTAATCATATTTGCATTACATAGCCAATTATTTGATATTATTTGATTTAAGACTATTTAGATTTGGAGTTAATTTCTTAGGTGTTAAATTTTTTTATCTATCAGGAATGAGCAATCTTTCATCAAATTCATCTGATTTGAGGAGTTGTTTATATTATTAATCCAATTTGTATTAATTTGAATTGATAATGCTTATCATGAATATGGAGAACCCTGAATTGCTCTTTAATTATTTAATTACATTTTATTTTATTAATTCAGCATATTGTTATTTGACTTATAAATTGATTGAGGAGAATAGATCTAAGTCTTAAATTTTGAATTGATTGATTAGAAATTATTAAATTTGTTATTATTACTCATCTTCTCCATTTGCTTATTTCTTTATTTCTGAGAATATTTTATTTGTTGTTGTATAAATATTCAATAATTAACTAAGTATAGTGGTTAGAATTGATATCAGTATGCATGTAGATTGGACAACGTCTTGTAAATTTAAAGATTCTAATTGAATATTGCTGATATTTACTTTTTGTAATCAAAAATAGGAGCCAAGTGATATTTTTAATAAGAATGTTTTAATCATTCATTTTGAAATGAAGTAAAAGTGCCTCCATTTTCTAATAAAACATATTTAGGATTTAATTGTTATGTTTCAAGAGAGTTAATGTCTTTTAACATGTTTAATCAACTTTTAAATCTGTAACCATGTTAATAGCTACATCAATTAATTAATCAATATTTGTGATTCCTTTATTTTAACAATCATTTATAATGGAATTTAAGGATATCCCTGAACCATACACAATTGAACCGTCTATTGCAACTATTTATTATTATTTTGAAGCCAACCACAAAGCCAATCTTGGAATGACTATATAATCATTCGTTTTATTATTTTAAATATAGTTATTTGTCATTTCTTACATTAATTTGAATGTTGATTAATCAAGACTAAATGTTTAGTAAATGAGTTATAGTTGTTGTTGGAGAGAATCTGTGTCCATAATTTTTGAATTTGAATAAATTAATATTTATTATGACTGAATTGGGAAATTATCTGATAGGTATTTATTATAAAGTGAATTATCATTTAAGGCAAAACTATAGGTGAAGGAACATTTGGAAAAGTGTGTCATGCCAAACATTAAGTATTAGGTCATGATGTGGCTGTAAAGATTTTAGAAAAGAAGAGAATCAATGATGAATTAGATATTGAAAGAGTAAAGAGAGAAATAACTATTTTGCAAATGTTGCATCATCCAAACGTGGTGTAGCTCTATGAAGTTACTTATGTAATTATGATTAGATGATTGAAACTGACACACATATTTATTTATTTATGGAATATGCAGACGGTGGAGAATTATTTGATTATATCGATTTAAAGAAGAGGTACTCTTGAAGTAATCTGATTAGGATCAATGAAGTTGAAGCATGCAAATTCCTACATGAAATTATTTCAGCAATCTAATATATTCATTAATTAAGAATAGTACATAGAGACTTAAAGCCAGAAAATCTACTTTTAACAGCTTAAAAGAATATCCTAGTTGTTGATTTTGGACTAAGTAACACCTATGAGGATACTCTAAAGACTGCTTGTGGAAGTCCATGTTATGCTGCTCCTGAAATGATATAAGGGAAACCTTATTATGGATTATAAACTGATATCTGGAGTTGTGGTGTAATCCTATATGCAATGTTATGTGGATATCTCCCTTTTGAAGATAATAATACATAAGTTCTTTATAAGAAAATTTTGACTGCTGATTTTCACATACCTAGATATGTTTCATTAGATGGCAAAGACCTTATTAAAAATATACTTGCTGTTGATCCTACTAAAAGGTTTAATATTGAACAGATTAAAAATCATAAGTGGTGGTAACTCTGGAAATCAGATGTATCAATTTTTTATTTATTTAGAATGTCTAAATGACACCTTTCAAAGCATCCTTTAATAAGATCTCTTGTACACTCTTGCCAAATAGTATTTATAAATCATGTGTAAAAAAAAATATTGAAAGGAATATTTCTGAAGATGTGAAGACTTGTTGTGACACTGCTCAACAATCTATAGATATACAATTTACAGACAAAGAAGATTTTATTAATAAATCAATTATTAAAGAGGAAATCAAATAAAATCCTCCAATTGAAAAAGTAGAAGAAGATTTAGATTAATAATTTACTAATGTTGAAGATCACTTTGAATTCTAATAGTCTATGCGATCATTAACTAGATAGAAATCAAGTTAATCAATTTAATCTATAACTCATCTTCATACATAAATTGATTCTCCCTTAAAATAATAAAATTAGGCTGTTAAAACCAAATAATCTATTCCAACTAAATAATAAAACTCTCAAATTAACTAAGTTATACCAAAAAAACCTGTTTTAACTTAATAACAACAACAAACTTTATAATAAAAGAAACCAATTACAAAAACAGTACCTTCAAAATCTTTGCATGAACCTCCAAATTT